ATCCCAATCCCAGCACTCCCTGAGGGATCCACATCCAACCCCAACCCCAATCCCAGCACTCCCTGAGGGATCCACACCCAACCCCAACCCCAGCACTCCCTGAGGGATCCACACCCAACCCCAATCCCAACCCCAGCACTCCCTGAGGGATCCCTGTGGCTCTGCTCCTGCACATCCAACCCAAATCCCAAATCCTGCACACCCAACCCAAATCCCAACACTCCCTAAAGGATCCTTGCGGTTCTGCTCCTGCACATCCAACCCAAATCCTATATCCTGCACACCCAATCTCAATCCCAAATCCTGCACACCAAATCTCAATCCCAGATCCTGCACACCCAACCCCAATCCCAGATTCTGCACACCCAATCTCAATCCCAAATCCTGCACACCCAATCTCAGTCTCAAATCCTGCACACTCAACCCCAATCCCAAATCCTGCACACCCAACCCCAATCCCAAATCCTGCACACCCAATCTCAATCCCAATTTAGCCCTCCCCAAAGGGAAAGGGATAAAAAGGATAAAGGGATAAAAAGCACCAGACACAAGGGGGAATTTGAAGGGTGTTGAGGCAAACCTGTGCTTTGAAAGTTTTGGGCATCCCAAGCTTGGATTTCTTGTTTTCCCCATGGTTTTGGTGTTTCCCAGCTCCTGCACACCCAATCCCAAATCCTGCACACCCAATCTCAAATCCTGCACACCCAATCCTAAATCCTGCACAGCCAATTTCAGTTCTAACTCCTGCACACCCAATCCCAAATCCTGCACACCCAATCTCAATCCCAGATCCTGCACACCCAATCCCAAATCCTGCACACCCAATCCCAATCCAAATTTAGCCCTCCCCAAAGGGAAAAAGGGATAAAAAGGAGAAAGGGATAAAAAGCACCAGAGACAAGGTGGAATTTGAAGGGTGTTGAGGCAAACCTTTGTTTTGAGTGTTGGGCATCCCAAGCCTGGATTTCTTGTTTTCCCCATGGCTCTGTTCTCCCCCTGCTCCTCCTTCACTCCCAATAACCCAAACATTTCTCCCCNCAGAGGATCCTGTCAGGCTCTGCCTCAGCAGGTGGGATCCCAAACCCTGAAAGTGTGATCCCAAATCTCACAGTGTGATCCCAAACCTGGCAGTGTGATCCCAGCCCTCACAGATGTGATCCCAAATCTCATAGTTATAATCCCAGCTCTCACAGGTGTGATCCCAAACCTGGCAATGGGATCCCAGCTTTGGAAAGTGTGATCCTACATCTCTCAAGTGTGATCCCACATCTCACAGTTATGATCAAGCTCTCACAAGTGTGATCCCAAACCTGGCAGTGTGATCCCAAATCTCACAGGTGCAATCCCAGTTCTCACACGTGTGATCTCAAATCTGGAAAGTGTGATCCCAGTCTGGGCAGTGTGATCCCAAATTTGGAAAGAGTGATCCCAGCTTTGGAAAGTGTGATTCAAAATCTCACAGGTGTGATCCCAGATCTCTCAGGTGTGATCCCAAACCTCGCAGTATCATCCCAGATTTCACAGATGTGATTCCAGATCTCTCAGGTGTGATCCCAAATCTGCAAAGTGTGATCCCAGCTTTAGAAAGTGTGATCCCAAATCTCACAGTTAAGATCCCAGATCTCTCAGGTGTGATCCCAAACCTGGCAGTGTGATCCCAGTCTGGGCAGTGTGATCCCAAATCTGGAAAGTGTGATCCCAGCTTTGGAAAGTGTGATCCCAAACCTGGCAGTGTGATCCCAGATCTCTCAGGTGTGATCCCAAATCTGGAAAGTGTGATCCCAGCCCTCACAGATGTGATCCCAAATCTCACAGTTATAATCCCAGCCCTGGCAGATGTGATCCCAAACCTGGCAATGTGATCCCAGCTCTCTCAGGTGTGATCCCAGCTCTCTCGGGTGTGATCCCAGCTCTCTCGGGTGTGATCCCAAACCTGGCAGTGTGATCCCAAACCTGGCAATGTGATCCCAGCTCTCTCAGGTGTGATCCCAAACCTGGCAGTGTGATCCCAGCTCTCACAGGTGTGATCCCAAACCTGGCAATGGGATCCCAGCTCTCTCAGATGTGATCCCAAACCTGGCAATGGGATCCCAAACCTGGCAATGTGATCCCAGCTCTCTCAGATGTGATCCCACCATTCCCCAGTTTCCCCTCCCTGCCCTCAGGCCGTGCCAGGGCTCTGGGTCAGGGCCGCCGCCATCCAAAGGTCCCAGCCCTGGGTCAGAGGTGCCTGAGCTGAGTCAGCCTGGGCTGAGTCACTGCCAGGGCCAAAGGCCTTTGGATCTGGCCTGGCTGCTGCCTGCATTTCCCCTGTGCCATCTGCTCAGGGCTGGGAAAGAGCAACCCCAGCGCTCCCTGAGGGATCCACANAAAAATGGGGGAAAATCCAGGGAAAAAATGGGAAAAATAATTGGAAATATGGGGGGGAAATGGGAAAAAAAAGGGAAGTCTGGGAAAAACCTGGGAAAAGAAAAGCAAAAATTGGGAAAAAAACCCTGGGAAATCTGGGAGAAAATGGAGAAAAAAGACCTGGGGAAAATAGGGGAAAAAATGGAAAAACCTGGGGGGAAAAAAAGGAAAAAAATCCAGGAAATTGGGGGAAAAAAGGGGAAAAAAAAGAAATCTGGGGGAAAAAAAGGAAAAATAATGGGAAAAATAAATGGGAAATCTGGAGAAAAATAAGTGGGAAAAAAGGGAAAAAAAAAGAGAAAAAACCTGGGAAATTGGGGAAAAATGGGGGGAAAATGAGGGGGGGAAAGGGAAAAATAATAGGAAAAATAAATGGGAAACAAGCTGGGAAAAATCTGGGAAAAAAATCCTGGGAAAACTGGGGAAAAAATGGAGAAAAAATTGGTGAGGAAACCTGGGGAAAAAATGGGAGAAAAATTGAGAAATCTGGGAAAAACCTGGGAAAATTGGGAAAAAATGGGGGAAAAATGAGGAAAATCTCTCAAAAATGGGATTAAATCCTCAGAAATGGATCAAAAAGCTCCTGGGTTGGGAAAAGGGAAGGAAGGGATCAGGCCCTGAGCATTGACTTTGGGAAATTAATTTAATTTATTATCCTACTAAAAAGTAATAAATTTATTTATTATTTATATATAAAATAAACATTTTCATTTATTATGCCATTAAGAAGTAATAAATGAATTTATTACTTGTATTTAAAATTTAAAATTTAATTAAATTTATATTCCGCTAAGAAATAATAATAAATGAATTTATTACTTACATATAACATTTAAAATTTAATTAAATTTATATTCCATTAAGAAATAATAAATTAATTTATTACTTATAAATACATATAAATACATATAAATACATATAAATACATATAAATACATATAAATAATAAATAATAATAAATACATATAAAATAATATATACATTAATATATACATAATAAATACATATAAAAATTTAAATTTAATTTATTATCCCATTAAGAAATCATCAAGAAATTTATTATGTGTATATAAAGCTTAAAACTTGAATTAAAATTAAAATTGAAAAATAAAATGTAAAATTTTAATTTTGCACCCCAAAAATCAATTTAAAATTGAGAAAAAAAATTAAAATTTTATTTTAACTTTACATTTTTTGGGTGTAAAATTAAAATTTTAATTTTAATTGAAGGAGTTGAATTAATTTTAAATAAAATAAATTTAAATGATGGGTGGGATGTGGGATTGGCACTGGGGTGCCCTTTGAGCTGGGATGGTGCAGGAAGGGCCAGGGATTGTTCTCTGGGGCAAAAGTNCTCCCTGAGGGATCCACATCCAACCCCAATCCCGATCCCAGCACTCCCTGAGGGATCCACATCCAATCCCAATCCCAGCACTCCCTGAGGGATCCACATCCAACCCAACCCCAGCACTCCCTGATGGATCCACACCCAACCCAAATCCCAACCCCAGCACTCCCTGAGGGATCCACATCCAACCCCAACCCCAGCGCTCCCTGAGGGATCCACACCCAACCCCAATCCCAACACTCCCTGAGGGATCCCTGTGGCTCTGCTCCTGCACATCCAACCCAAATCCCAAATCCTGCACACCCAATCCCAAATCCTGCACACCCAATCCCAATCCTGCACACCCAACCCCAATCCCAGCTCCTGCACACCAATCCCAAATCCTGCACAGCCAATTTCAGTTCTAACTCCTGCACACCCAGTCTCAATCCCAATTTAACCCTTCCCAAAGGGAAAAAGGAGAAAGGGATAAAAAGGAGAAAGGGATAAAAAGGAGAAAGGGATAAAAAGCACCAGACACAAGGGGGAATTTGAAGGGTGTTGAGGCAAACCTTTGTTTTGAGTGTTGGGCATCCCAAGCCTGGATTTCTTTTTTTCCCCTTGGTTTTGGTGTTTCCCAGCTCCTGCACACCCAATCCCAATCCCAGATCCTGCACACCCAATCCCAATCCCAGATCCTGCACACCCAATCCCAATCCCAGATCCTGCACACCCAATCCCAATCCCAAATCCTGCACACCCAATCACAATCCCAAATCCTGCACACCCAATCCCAATCCCAATTTAGCCCTCCCCAAAGGGAAAGGGATCAAAAGGAGAAAGGGATAAAAAGCACCAGAGACAAGGTGGAATTTGAAGGGTGTCGAGGCAAACCTTTGTTTTGAGTGTTGGGCATCCCAAGCCTGGATTTCTTTTTTTCCCCATGGTTTTGGTGTTTCCCAGCTCCTGCACACCCAATCCCAAATCCTGCACATCCAATCTCAATCCCAAATCCTGCACACCCAATCCCAGATCCTGCACACCCAATCCCAATCTCAATTTAACCCTCCCCAAAGGGAAAGGGATAAAAAGGAGAAAGGGATAAAAAGCACCAGACACAAGGGGGAATTTGAAGGGTGTTGAGGCAAACCTTTGTTTTGAATGTTGGGCATCCCAAGCCTGGATTTCTTGTTTTCCCCATGGCTCTGTTCTCCCCCTGCTCCTCCTTCACTCCCAATAACCCAAACATTTCTCCCCTTTCCAGCAAAAATACTTCGATTCCGGCGACTACAACATGGCCAAGGCCAAGATGAAGAACAAGCAGCTGCCCAGCGCAGGGCCTGACAAGAACCTGGTGACAGGAGACCACATCCCCACGCCCCAGGACCTGCCCCAGAGGAAATCCTCGCTGGTCACCAGCAAGCTGGCCGGGTAGCTGCACTCCCAGCCGGGGGCTGCCCTCTTTTTGTCTCATTTTTTGTTTTGGCTAAATGGATTGAACTTCACTGTACCATAGGGATGGATGGGAGCAGCAGAATCCACGTAGTTTGTTTGAGTTTTTGCAGCAAGCACGCCCCAAAGGTGACTGGGATGGCAGGGTTGGGCTGGCCCCTCCTCCCAGAGAGGCTTTGCCTTAATTTTGCTGCTGTTTGGAGCCATCGTGGCTCTGGGACAGCCCCTGGAGGGGGGGACAGGGCAGGGCTGAGGGTGGGAAGGGATGGCAGGGGCTGGGGAGGCAGAGACTGAGCCAGCTGGGCAGGAGAGCGATCCCAGATATGGAAATTGGGGTCCCACATCTGGAAATTGGGATCCCAGATCGGAAAGAGTGATCCCAGATCTGAAAAGTGATCCTAGATTTGGAAAGAGTGATCTCACATCTCACAGGTGTGATCCCAGATACAGAAATTGTGATCCCAGGTGTGGAAATTGTGATCCCAGATCTGAAAAGTGATGCCAGGTCTGCAAAGAGTGATCCCAGATGTGGAAATTGTGATCCCAGATCTGGAAATGGTGATCCTGGATCGGAAAGAGTGATCCCAGATCTGAAAAGTGATCCTAGATTTGGAAAGAGTGATCCCACATCTGCAAAGAGTGATCCCAGATGTGGAAATTGTGATCCTAGATATGGAAATGGTAATCCCAGATCTGGATATTGTGATCCCAGATCTGAAAAGTGATCCTAGATTTGGAAAGTGTGATCCGAGATCTGGAAATTGTGATCCCAGATTTGGAAATTGTGATCCCAGATCTGCAAAGAGTGATCCCAGATATGGAAATTGTGATCCCAGATTTGAAAAGAGTGATCCCAGGTGTGGATATTGTGATCCCAGATTTGGAAAGTGATCCTAGATTTGGAAAGAGTGATCTCACATCTCACAGTTGTGATCCCAGATGTGGAAATTGTGATCCCAGATCTGGAAATTGGGATCCCAGATCTGGAAAGAGTGATTCCACATCTCACAGGTGTGATCCCAGATATGGAAATTGTGATCCCAGATATGGAAATTGTGATCCCAGATCTGCAAAGAGTGATCCCACGTCTCACAGGTGTGACCCCAGGTCTGAAAGTGTGATCTCAGAGCTGGAAATTGTGATCCCAGATTTGGAAATTGTGATCCCAGATCTCACAGGTGTGATCCCAGCCCTGAAGGCACAGTCAGCTGTGAGCTTTAGAGTTTCAAAGTGAAGAAATTGGCTGAGATAAAAAAAAAAAAAAAAATTTTTTTTTTAAATCTCAGGATAATAAACAGCAGGAGCAGGGGTGTTGTTGTGAGCTGAGATCTGTCCCTGGCTCAGCTCACAAGGGAGACAGCACTGAACATTTGCAGAGGGGCTGGGCAGGGTTTGAAACATCTTGGGGTGCTTTGGGGGTAGAGCCCCCCCTCAGCTGGGGGGGCTTGGCTGAATTTGGATAAAGGGACAAAA